GAGAATTTTAGATGTGGTATATTTATAATTAAAGAATGCATATTATTTGGTACAGATAATACAGGGAAAGGGAAGTTTAAAACTCACTGAAGGTATTTTTATTTTTTTGGTGTATCCCTAGATATCTTTCCTGATTCTGTCAGAACTTTCCTTAATGCTCCAGTTTCTGTAGAATCAAGAAATTTCTTGCAGTTCTTTCTTTTTTAGGTTCTTAGCTCGCTCAGGGCTTTTTATTTTCCATTTCTTTATCTTGGAATATGCATCTACTTCTTGTCTTTCTGTCAAACTTTTACCTACCCTTTAAGCTCAAGGGTTACCTGCTCTGTGAATTATTTGCTCACTATCATCTGCAGACATAGTTGCCCCTACCTCTGGGCTGCAACCTTATTTATTTTCCACGCTGGGGATTGAACCCAGGGCCTCGCATGTTAAGCTCCACTATAACCTTTAAAATCTCCATTAGAACAACCATCTCATTTCTCTCTAATCTGTAACCCAAGCTTCTTCAAAATAAAATAAGGTGTGTCTTTTCACTCTTATATTTCCAGGAAGCATGGATCATGAGGCAAATGATAAAAATATTCTATGAATGAGGTAATTAATTTCACTGAAATTCATGTTTTAGCAGAATTTTAGTTTTACTTTCAGTGTCATTTGTTGCAAGAGCTTCTCACTTTTCTCATTTCCTACATTCTTTTTGATCAGGTCTATTTCCTTTCTTTCAAGTACAACAAGATATTCCAGGTTCATTTGTTCTTTGCCTGCCTGTTCCAGGAATCAGCCTTTTTTCTAAGGAGACTTGATTCTGTTTAGAGGAGAACAGTATTTAGAAGCCAAGCTCAGTGCCCTAGTTACGCTCATTGCTATTACTGTGTTGTTTCCAGGCCTTGTCCGGGGACAAGGCTAGGAATCATTATTATGTATGTTTCTGTTTCTATACTAGAAACCATTAATTGACACTGATATCACCAATTTCAACCTGATTATAAGATTCATTCTTTCTCTCCATATTTATAATTCTCTTCTCTGATAGTGAGAAATTCTGCTTCTATAACCTATAATATGCTTACTTACTTAACCGATTCCCTTGTGTATAATTTATCTCTTTCTCCTGCCATTTTCTTCTTCCATCTGATTCCTTCCTTATCCTCTCTAGGTTCTTGATACTATTACTGCTATTACTGTGATGCCCCAGCCATGCTGCCCTTCCTAACTGCACGGACTGATATCTCATGCCATTGCTCTTCAGAGTCATCCTGCTCTCCCTGTTCCAACACTGAAACTCTGTGCATGGCCACCATCAAGCATAGATACCTTCATTACCTACTCAGGCTCTGAGTTTCTATGATAGTTGCCTTTCTCTCTGTACTACTGAGCTATGGATGCCTTCCATTCTATTTAGGTTCTGGTAGACCATGCCAGGCCACTGCTCTGTTGCACAGCCTCCTCTTCCAGATGGGGCCAGATGAACCATGCTGAAAAGCTCATCACACTTGAGCTGCAGTAGACTGTGCTGGGATGCATGCACATGTCCTTACCCCATTAGGGATGCTTCTCTGATTTGCCATGTCCCTTTCCCAATCTGGATATCTTTTTTTTTTTAATTTTTAATATTTATTTTTCAATTTTCGGCGAACATAACATCTTTGTTTGTATGTGGTGTGGAGGATTGAACCCGGGACACACGCATGCCAGGCAATCGCGCTACCGCTTGAGCCACATCTCCAGCCCCAATCTGGATATCTTTATGATACTGTCTGGGCTCTAGCTGCCCACTGTAAGTTTCCTTCTTATTGATACCTTCTTCTCTTATTCAAGCTCCAACACCCCTCTTTTGGCCACTGTGTGTTCCCTCCATGCAGATAGTATTGTGTTATGTACCACCTAATGGCTCTAGAACTACAAGGCAAAGAAAGAGAAGGGGAAGCAGAGAAAGTATGGGCTTTCTTTTAGATTTTCTTATTAGTCCTTCCGCAAGGAAATGCAAACGTGAAAAAGCTTAAAAGAAGTAAATTTGCTCTATATTTACCATAGTAACAAAAGATTTGGACTGAGAAACATTTGAAGCTCTTACAAGAAAGTATGATGTGAAGTTAACTACCCTTTCAACTGGAGAATTAAATTTTTACTTCTCTTCTAAGTGTTTCATATTTTGTTCTGTTAGGTGATTTCTAAATTAGACATTTAGAAATAAAAAAGGCTGAAAAGGATTCTTGACATCCCTAACCCAATTACCTTGTTTTATAGATGAGGGAATTGAAATCCTGGTTGGGTTAAATGGCTTTCCCAGGTTTCCCAGGTGGCCAAGTCAGAAATAAAAAAGACATCTTTCAAAACCCTGGCCAATGTTCTTGGCTTGCTACTCTCATTATTATCATTCAGAACTATTTGGCCTTTGAGGCGAATTTACAAGAAAAATATGTTTTATGGATCATACTTTGTATTTTAAAAATTAGAAGTCTTTTTGTTTGGTAATGATATGAATGATAAAATGCCATTTTGGGGCCTCAAAACATTAACTGGGCAGTAGTTTGTGTTATAATTTAATAGGGTGAAAGATATAGAAATTAGCCTTAGTTAGTAGCTTGTAATTTTCTAAATGCTTTCTCTCTCTTTTTCCAAATGCTTTCTCTTAATTGCATGTTTACATTATGTTAACTGTACTTGGTAAAATTGCCAGTCATTTTAATGGTTATTTATTTTGCTGTTTATTGTCTTGTAAGTTTGATGGGTTAGCAAAATGCCTACATGTGGATATGAATGACTGATAAATAAATTCTAATTTTTAGAAATCCACATTGTGAAATTTGTATTATTGAAAGCCCAGTACATCTATTGAAAAATCCATCACCAACAGGTAACTTTGTTATCAACAAAGTTAGTTGTGGAGAAGCAGGAAATGAACAACTTGCTAGGTATAGATGAGCTGTTTAAAACATTGATTTACAAAAGTCATCTTAGGTCATGAAGGTCAAAAGGAAAAACAGGCAACTAATTCTGTTTTAAAATCCACTTAAAGCCTTAAAGATTTAAGAGCTCAACTCTGAGGTCAATTCATTCTGGCCTGTAAGTGAAATATTTGCCCTTTGAGCTTCAATATAATTCTGTAAATTAATGTGAACAAATGCACAGCTTTTACAACTAAAGGAACATAGCCTCAAGATCATTTAGTTCATCTTCTTTCAAGGCAGGAATCTTTGTGCCCATTCTTATAAGTGGTCACTCAGGATCTGCTGATTTGAATCACTTTCAGTCATGCACGAATCACCATCTCTGCATTAAGGCTGTGACATGCTTTTGCAGAAACATTCCACTTGGTAACCGTGCCTTCTTGCTGCCTCTTTTTTGAGTTGGTCAAAATAACTCAAACCCTTCCATAAGACAGTCCGTCAGTTGGGTCCACCAAGATCCCCATCCTCCTGGGATATTCATTCTTTCCCTGGTCTCTTCCTTCCATGGATATGAATGCCTTATAAGAGACCCTTTTTCCTTCCCTTTTCTTTGTCCTTGTCTGGATTTACCGACTTTATTTAAAAAGTACTGTTTTAGAATACTATGCACAGCCCCGATGAAAGGCAAGAAGAGCACGTCGAATTCCATTTTTTGTCATCTAAGAGGGAAGCATGGTCTCACTTTATTTCCGGACCGTTGTATCCACCAGACACAACCTTTGTCCTCAAACACCACATACACTTTACACAAACTTGTTGACCTCACACCCAAACTCAGCTTTTCTTGAACCTCATCTGAACAAATAAACATTCCTTCTGATCGGCGGATATCCCTCGCGGCGTCAGGAAGGGCTGGCTTGGGCAGTGCTGGCTCAGCTAGCCCGCCCGGGTTCTACAGTTTGGGTTTCCTCTTTGTCCTCTGATTTTAAGAAGTGAGACAAAAAAGCAATTCCTGTTAATCTCTTAGACAATGTAAGGGGCCCTAGACTCCATTCCAGGAAGTTGTTTTCATCAAGGTAACAAAGAGGTGGACCACTGAGAACAGAAAGAAGGCTAGGGACCCCGTTTGTAGGTGGCATCCAGGTAATCCTCAGAGGCGAGGGTAGGGAGAGGGCACCGCTGAACTGGAATGAAGCGCTTGGAGAAAGAGCAGCTCTGCGCCCCGGCGTGGACACGCCCGGGAGTTCAGCCTGGGGGAGTGTGTCACCACGTGCTACAGAGGCGGGGACTAGACTCTCCACTTATCTGTAAAGGGCGTAGGGCCCAATCCCAGAGTTTCCCAGCGGACAGGAGATAAAGGAAAAAGGGAAGAGAGAAAGAGACAGAAAGAGAGAGGAGAGACTCAGACACCGATCTAGTCACAGAAAGAGAAAGACGCAGAGAAAGAGACAGATAGGAGAGGTGAGAGGCTAGCGAGTCCTTCCTTTTAACTTGCCAAGTCCAGAGGTTCCAGGAGGGAGGATTCTGTGTAGACGCTCAAACCCCGGGACTCCGGAGGGTCCCTTTTCTGCAGCTCCCTGGGGACTGACTACACATTTCAACCTTTCTAAGTTAGCCGCGGAGGGAATAAAGCATAAAGACAGGAAGAGGAGATGGGGTTGTACAGTCAGTGCGGTTTGACTTCTTCCTAGGAGTGGCGCGGTTTGGGGCTTTATATCCGGGAGGAGCATGTGTCACCAAACTGTGCGCAAATCCTGGGGCCTCTGCAAACCCGGCTCCCGGGCAGTTGGCCTCAAGCCCAGCCGGGCCGTTCGAGGCTCTGGCCACACAGAGCTCCTGGGGCTGGCCGGCCGGTGGCTCGGTGGCCTTTATCTCTGTCCTCCTTTGTCCCTTTTATCTCAGGCTCTCCAGGAGGCCCGGGGGGCCCCACTCTGTCTATCGCTTCCCCCCGGGCAGAGCTGCCACTTCAATGTCCCGAAGGTCGTGGGCTGCTACTCTTTCAAAGGCGGCGGCGGAGCAGGAGCGCTGCGCGCCACGCTAACCCGGACGGGCGGAGACGCCTGATCGGCTCACTCTCGGCCACTCTTGGCGACACCAGTGCACCCGCGCGTCTCGAAGGGCAGCTTGGGCCAGGATGGCTCCAGGCAGGGCAGTGGCCGGGCTTCTGCTGCTGGCGGCCACCGGCTTCGGAGGGGCAGCGGAAGGGCCCGGGCTCGCCTTCAGCGAGGATGTGCTGAGCTTGTTCGGCGCCAATCGGAGTTTGTCGGCGGCGAAGCTCGAGCTCTTGCTGGAGCAGCTGGGAGCTGCCCCAGTCAAGGGCGTCCTGGATTTGGGCCAGCTGCACTTCAACCAGGTAGGATCGCGGGCCCAGAGCGGCCCTAAAGCCCCGTGGGTGTCCGTAGATTTCCATTTGTATAGGAACCGTTTTCACGTGGGGAAAGTGCAGGAGAGAGAACTTAGGTTTTTCAGGTATGGGACCGCAACTGATCGGTGGCGCTTGATTTCCACTAGATCTGGCTAGTTAATCAGGTTTAAAGGACTAGTACAGTTCAGCCAGAAGTTGCAGTTCTGTCTGATAAGCTGAGAGATCAGAGGCTTGTGCTTTTAAGGTGTTGTAGAAAAGTTTATGAAGTAGTTGAGGAAGGGAAGACACCTTAAGAAATGCTTCTTCCTCTTCTTCTTCTTTTTTTTTTTTTAAAGATAGGAATATTTCATTTAAATCTTCCCAGTAAGACAACGGCTTACTTAATTTTCCACAAAGTCAGCAGAAAGAATATGTTACATGCCACCCTCATTAACAGTTGTCGTGTGGGCATTTCCATTTAAAAATGATGTCCAACGTAGTTCTGACTCCTGAGAGCATTACATTTAGAGCTGAAGAACCTGTTGGACAGATGGGGAAGCTGAGGATACCAAGAGACCAGGATCACAGCTGGTGGTTGAGTTTGTATCAAGACTGGATTTGAAGGGGGTTGTTTCTTGTCATGTCAGGCTAAGTGATTCCAAAATTCATTCAAAATAAAAACATAACATTTCTCAGTTCATAAACACAGTATTATCTAGTTAACGACAAAATCTTGGGTTTAAGGGCAGCCTCCAACCACCTAGAAGCAAGTAGAAATCATACCTGTTGTGGGGTTGGGGATGTAGTTGAGGGATAGAGCCCTTGCCTAGCATGTGGGAGACCTTGGGGTGAGGTGGGGAGGGGGCAGATTCAATTAAATCAATGCTTTGATTTTTTTTTGAATAACAGAATATAGTATTTCATATCTATCTATCTATCTATCTATCTATCTATCTATCTATCTATCTATATCACTTTTAGGCAATGATAGTTTGTTACAAAGTTTTTGTGTTTCAAGATGTTTGGGCAATTCTGTATACTATACTCTAATCTTGGAAATACAACATTTCCCAATGAATCAGACCTTACATTACAGTTAGAGAAACTTTAATCAGATAAATACATAGGTTGGTATTCTTTTTTTTTTTTTGTTAGTGATTTCATACCCCAATTAAAATGTATGGAAATAGAAATTTCTCAGGAGATAGAAATTTTTGATGCCATGGGGTTTCAGAGGCAGTCTGTCTTTGATCCAGAAGGATTTTGTGATCCCTTATGGATATTTTTAGTTTCCTATTATTCCTGTTCTTGCATGTTATTATATTTGGCTTAATATTTGAGAAATGATATGTTAGAAAGACTGAAATGCTCACATACTATGTGATATTTTAGAAAATAAAAAAAAATAACTTCTGAAGTATTTTCTGAGCTCCTCTTCAAGAAGGAGAACTGGACACCAGCATTTCCAAGTAGGTGTGGTCCTATGCTTGGAAAGAAGCTTAGAGACTTGACTTGAATTTGCATATCTGTGGCCCACACACTGTTTTGACTTAAGTGATATCCTTATCTCAAAGTGTCTGAAGGTGAATTTTAAGGGGGACAAAGACCCCTAATCACTCTTCCTAAGATACTGGAAAATATGTCTCAGTTACTTAATTCACTAGTAATATGATCCTTGCTTTATTAGCAGATAGGATGTTTAAGTAGAGAAATTATATGTATGTTAACACTGTGTTTCTCATTCTCAAGTTTGCATATTTAACTCATTATGACCTCTGTGGGCATCCCAAAGAGATAGGAAAAAGCCCATAATTAACTTGTATACAAAGGGAAGCCAAGGAAAATTCACCACTTAATCAGGTCTGCTTAAGGAACATCTATTTGAAGTTCTAAGAAGTCCTAATGAAAACAACAATTCATTGGTTAAAAGAAAACAAATGAAATGTTAATTCAGAAGAATCCATTAATTTGCTGGTAACTAATGGAGTCTAGCCAAGGCATATTCTTATGACTTCAGTGTGAAACCATCTAATTTAGAATAACATTTTAAGGCCTTTGAACATTTTTGTATTTCAAAGAATGCAGTTTAGTTTCCTCACCTGCCACAGGGAACACTGTACTGTATTGTGAAAAAATTAAATTTTCTGACTTTAAAAAAATCCTGAGAAAATAGAATTTGTTTCCACGGGCCAGAAATTTATTGCATCTTCTACAAGATCTATCTTCAAAAGATAGTGTTCTTTTGGATGTGGGCTGTGGTATTAGGTTAGCTTCTCTCAAGTTATAGACTACTGAATTCTGGAGATTTATTAAATGGTTTTAGAAATTTTTCTAATTTTTTTCCCCCGGTGTCTCTAACTACTATTACATTGTCGCTTTGGGAAACCCAAGTGACCTCAGTTCAAACTGGAGATAGTAAAACAATTGAGTTCATTATTCTGCTTCTTATAGTTACTAAGTGCACAAAGAGTTAGATACAAGAAGCAGCCCAAACAACAGAGAGGAGGGAGTGAACTCTTTTTAGGCAGGTGGGTCTCTGTGGCCCCCATGACCACAAGCATAGGTCTGGTCCATGTAGGGGAGTGTCTGGAATATTGGGGATTTTAGAATTGCCTATTTGCTACTTTTTATTGGTTCAAAGGTTTTTTTTTTTTTTTTTTT